TCCGACCCACCGATGCCATTGAAAATGGCATGTCAAAGAATGGACCACTGACTTGATTTTCATTGTCACCAACCATAAAGCATTTCCATCCTGCAAGTAACTTCTTATCGTTCATATAGACGATAGCTTCGCCTTTAATAATATTAGCAATAGACTGTTATATATACGCATTTCAATAAAAACTGGTCATTTTATTAAATTTTGCTGAAAATGAAGGTAGAGTAGTAAATAACTCTACTTTTATTTTCTTTTTCATTTACAAGGTTTTGTTATATTTTCATGCAACGTATTAAATAACTTTCTAAAAAAGCTTAGAAAAAATGGGTAATTTACATGTTTATTAAAAAAAAACCATTTTTATTGGCCATTTACATCATTTTGTTATCATTTCATGTACCAAATTCAGTAATTCTGTGACAAATATTTTAAAATATTAATATGAAATAATATATCATTATTTTAATAATAAAATAATAGTTAAATTGGTGAACCGAACCCAACTCAAGCTAGACAGCTTTAAAAAGAAAGTCTCCACAGGCTCGATGCAACCCATGAATACTTCTTGGCATACACGTGAATTAAATTTGCATTTTTGATACATAAAATTATTTTGTTAGTAAAAAATATTTTTATTTATCTTAATTTTTATATAATTTAAAATATGAAAATATTATTTTATTATTTTAATAATAAAATAATAGTTAAATGGGTAAGGCAAGTTAAGTTTAAACTTGACAGCTTGAAAAGAAGGCTAGATAGACTCAATTGAGTCATGAAAATTTGTTGACACACAAGTATATTAAATTTGTATTTTGATATATAAAATTAATTTTAGAAATTAAAACCACATTTAATCAGTGTTCTCTCATTTATACCAAACACAATAATATTTTTTTTTAATAATTTAATATCTAATAATCATATTTTATAGAAATCACAAAATAATAAGACATTAAACGTCAAGTCAACTACTCGGGTCTTTGAATCTTGTATTCTATGCTTGTAATTTTTTTTCGGACGGAAACACCGATATTTAATCGCAAAACTAAATTCAGGTACATTATATATAAAGAAGAAGATTAAAGAAGCAACAAACAAATTGCCCAAATGTTGAGCCTAAAACAGAAATAACCACCTAAGAAGGTGCTGGCAACCCGTCCTTACCCAGAACAAGCACAAGGAGGATGGAGTTGCCTTAACCCAACCTATTGCTGTGTATCTCCTTGCCAAATTGAGCTGCTACCTAACCAGTATCAGCTGCCTTATTGGCATTTCTCTTAATCAGTTTTAATCTAGAATAATGAATAAGGGAACAGGGAGTATGGAAAGTATCAAGTCTTTCACACGGCGCTAAGCAGGCCATTAAAGCAATCCCAGCATGTTAGAATGAAGCAAGGGACAAGATGGTTTGGCCATAGAACGCAACGCGTGAATGCACGGGTTTTTTTTTAATAATTTGAAGATTCGAACTTTACTTTTTAAGTCGAAGAATTATATATCAATTAATGAATCAAATGCTTAAGTGTAAATATACCGTTTAAATATGAAAAGCTGAAAATAAAAGTGGATTCCCAAATTGTCCACTCTAAAATAACAAGGAGCATGCAAATAAGGAACCTATAAATTGATGGTTTGCTCACATATATCTTTTGCTGAATCTTATTTCAGAAAAAAAAAGGGATGGTTTTATAAATATTTTGATCCTAATTTCATATAAATATATATATAGAATTTTAAAAAAATTACAAAACATAATTTAAATATACAAAAAAAAACAGTATTTTTACAAAGACTGGCATCAACATTTTATAAGTTAATTGAAATGATAGAAACTCAAAAAAATCTGATAAATTAATTATATTGTATTTTATGATAAAATACAGTAAAATTTTTTAAAGTTAATTATAAATAGCATACATATAGTTCAAATAAACAAAAATTTTAAAAATATTATATTTATTAATAAAATTAAGGATTATATGATATGAATGGAAAAAATAATTATTTTAATTTAAAATCTTAATATACTCATTAATAATGTATATTTTAAATAAGATATGTATTTTTCACATTAAGTTATTAGTCAAAAATAAAAAAACATTTAACCAGTTGAAATGGGTGAATTCAATTGTTTTTAAATATTTTTTCATCTAAATATTGAATATTGATACTTATTGAAATTATTTTTCATATTTCAACTAAAAGAAAGTGGATAAATAAATAAATTTTTAATAATTGAGTAAGATAAAATTAATAATCATACTACATCATATGACATACATGTATTGTATATTAAGTACGTATTGTATATCATACGATATACTTTTTATATTTAAATAAATATAATATTACATATTAATTCGTATCATTTTAAATTTATATTGTAATGTAACATACCATGCATTTATAATATAATATTAATAACTATGCAATCAACTGTTCAGCTCATTTGTCTAGTGCTCCCATGGAAGTCAGAGGCCTCAAACTTGCCTAACCTCTAGCCTAGCAATGGCAATGAACCTACCCAGCTACAGCAACCATATTAACCTGAAAGAGTATCAATTATGAACTTGGTCCTTGCACTACTGGATTGAGAGAAACTAAAATGTCCAAGAGGGGGTTTGGTTAAGGACCGTAGTTCCAAGTGGAAGTTCAATTTTTTTTTTATTTTGTTTATTCTTCTTTAACTTAATTGTATTTTTCCAGAAAAGGGCATAGAAATGATAGGTAACACATTTTTTTTTAAACATTTGAAGTCACTAAGTATTTTGCTTGCACTTAGACAAGTAAATAAAAGAAAGGTCTCGCTCCCATTGGGCCTTTATAACTTCAAACCATTTATTTTCTTGGTGCCTCTGCTTCTAGCATCAATCTCATGGCTGCCATGTCCTAGCACTTCTTTATCTGGACTAACTGCAATTGACACCATGCAGATACTACTTAATTTCCTTTGTTTTTCAGCTGAACGCTTAGGACTACCTGATCTTAATGCCTATCTGGACTCAGTCGGTACAAATTTTAGCCATGGAGCCAATTTTGCAGTTGCTGGAGCAACTATTAGGCAAACTGTTTTTAATCCAATTTCATTAGGAGAAGATCTCAGATTTTTAATAAACAAGGTGCAAACGCTTTTCTATATACTAATCTCTTTGTTGTATAGTTAATTGAACAATCCTGGAATTGACAATATCGCAATCATTTTATAATCTCACATGGCAGCGCGCGGCATTTGAGAAATTGTTGCCTAAAAAGGATAATTTCCCCCCGAGCATTGTACACCTTTGACATTGGTCAAAGGGATCTCACCGCCGGCTACGAACTTAATTTGACAACACAACAAGTCAAGGCATACGTTCCATACCTACTGACCCAGTTTTCCTCTATTGTTAAGGTAATTAATAGGAGAAAGTTGAGTGGTAACCACACCTTGTTCTCTCAGAAAATTAGGATGACTCGAGTTCAATTCTCTCTTTAACCAAACTATCAAGGAAAGGCAATTAGCTATTTCTCCTCAAGCATATACTAGGATGGAAAAGTTAAAAGTTGATGACAATGATGCATGTGGCGATGCAGGTTTTCTATTATCAAGGAGGATGAACATTTTGGATACACTACACAGGACCTGTAGGCTGCCTGCCTTATGTCCTAGACCGCTTTCCGGTCCATGCAGGCCAAGTAGACAAACATGGTTGCGCCAATCCGTTCAATGATTTCCACGAGGGACTGAAAGGAGTGGTGGGTCAATTAAATATGTCGATGTCTACACCGTGAAGTATACTCTCATCAGCCAAGCCAAAAAACTTGGTACTCTTTCCATGAAAAGTTTTTGGTCACAGTTTTTATGTTTCTTATTTAGGTTTTAATCGTATTATAAACTTATCTACACAATACGTGATTATAATTAAATAAATAAATAATAAATGGATTGCGAGTTATACGTGCCAAATAACAATATTGTATCTTAAATGTGTCTTAAACAAATTAAGTAGGTATGATATGATTAAAATATAATTTATTAACTTCTTAATCATATTGACACGATTAATGCACGAAACACAAATAACCTAAATTCAAATTCGTTCAAACTAGTATCGTATTCATTTTATATTATGGTATAATATACAAAATTAGCAAGTCTAGATTTGATAAAATTAAGTGGGGCGAACTGAAACTGAGCAAGAGAGGGGCAATTTGATATTGAGACTGACTAGCATCTATGGTATGCTAGGTGGCAGAATAAAGGACTCAAGGGCTGGGTTACTTACATTTATTAAACCTACACCTGAACATAGACTTAAATTCTAAATCGTATTGTCTTTGTATGGTATTATTGTATCGTATATAAAATTATTAAGTCTAGTATTGATATGTAATATTCAGGATTATCACGCGGAGGAAAAATTGGATTGCACCAATAGCGCATATTTAGAGCAACTAATAATTAGATAGAAAATGACCTTTGGAAGTATGGACCACTCATTCACTGGAAATCTTTCTCCATTTTATCGTGTAAAGAAACCTTTTAAAAAAGAAGGGCAACCAACTACCTTTTTTGCAGAGCCACAGGCCACATCATGGTAGGAGCCAGGAGGCTTGTTACTGGGCCTGTTTCTTGCTAGCAAGAAGAACCTAACTTTTAGGTGAATGGTCCACCACCAGGCCCAAAATTAGGAACACAATGGCGCGTGACATGCAAGCTGTTAATGGGCCAGCCTCCACTCTCCTTTTTCTTTTCTTCTCTTTCTATTGCTTTGTTTGATCAACCACATGTACATGTTCATGTGCAGATGCTGCGCCGCATGCATGCTCCTTTTTCTTTTCTTCTGTTTCTATTGCTTTGTTTGATCAACCACATGTATGTGTGCATGTGCAGATATGCACACATGTTCACATGTGGTAATATATACATGACACAGGCACATGTATATGTGAATATACACAACAGTAAAACATGAACAAATTACCTAGTTAATAGAGCTTTCCAAACTTGTAACCATAAATCACATGTAAAGCTACAACAACCGTTTATTGAAAAAAAGAGAGAACCAACAGGTTCCATTTCCACTAAACGCACGCGTATGCACGGGCTCTTGCCAATTGGTGATTCAATCACCATCAACTGCAAAATATCATCCTACATATCAGCTGTTTTTGCCGGATTCATACATCATTATAAACACTGTTGACCGTCTGTTGCCACACGCAATATATTTCAAATATATATCTATATAACTACATTACAAACCATTTGAAAGTCTTGATTGGTATTGGAGATTGGAGAATTATTGGAAAACTTCCAAGGTCGTCCAATCTGGCCTGTCCAATCCTGTCCACCAGTGCCATCTTCCAGCTTTCTTTGGGCCCTTATGTTGGTAACCAAAGCCTAATCCTTCATTTCTTTCTATTTGAATATGAAAACTCAATCAGTTTGACCGGCTTTTAATTCACAGGAAACGATGCATGAATGATGATGATGATGATGATATAGTAATGATAATGTTAGAAGGAACCACTCATGTGCCATGCACAGTACAATTTTCATTCCACCTTCCAGGCATATAGAAATAAGCAGAACCTGGAGGAACCCCCTGCATTATTATAATCTCCTGATGCAGAATTCACTTCCTGATTTGACACAGGCATCGATGTCCACGATGATGTTGGAGGGGATGATGGAGCTGATATTGATGATGGCGATACAGAAGATGATGGAATTGGGTTAAATATGAAAAGACCATGCCTTGGCCCAGAACCAAAGAGCCAATCGTGAACATCCCAGAAAACTTCTACTCCACTTTTTCCCACATTAATGGACTCATTGCCTCTAAATTTCCACTGAAGGTGCTTAACCTGAATAGCTAGTTTCCCATCTACTCTTATCTCCAATACTGGATCAAAAGCATCAGAGCTGCTGTTGCTGCTGATGCTATTGTTGCATTCGACTGAGATATCATGAAAGGTCCCCTTGTCATTAAACTTAACCCTTGTGGAGAACTTCCTCTTACCAAATATATGTTCCCTCCTGGAGACTAACATCGGTTCAATAAGAGATGGCCTACAACCTGTCTTTCTGTAAGCGTCTTTCTTTTGATCACCAAGAAGTAAAACTACTTCATCTTCACAAATGATGGCAACATAGTAATCCGATCGCGGCTCGGTCTCACCATTGAATTTTGCGGCCTTGAGGTCCCAAACCACATCAACAGTCCTACCATCAACAATAAAATGCTTGGAGCCTTGTTTTCTCCAGAAATACCATGGCTTCAGCTCAACTTTGCACCTGTAATGCTCGTCGCCGTCAGGTCCTTGAACAGAAACAGATAGACCATGTAGTAACAAATTCCTGCACCATGTAACAGTAATCAAGCGGCACTGACCGGCAAGCTTTGTTCGATATACTGACATAAAAACGCTCTGGCCTGATCTGCCTACGCTGGCTGGCTCATCAGCTTGCCTCTGATCACTAGATGTAAAGCAAGCAGGAATTCCTATTGAATCATGCATGATTCTCGATCGATAGTCTGTCTGATGAAATAAATTAAGCAGACTGATTGCTTATTTGGATTATATAAAAGTATATGAAAAATATGGCTCAAGATCTCGCCAGTAAGATTGGGTTTAGAGATATACAGCCAGAGGCTTAATGATTGTCACCATGTAAGGTAGGGGAGAAAGGGAGAGGGAGGGAGAGAGAGAGAGAGCGAGGAGCATATCTTATAGTCAATGCATCGTATGCAAGCCCTGTAAGGTTTTAGTCTTTTTCTCCCCTTTATTTCTGTTTTCAACAAAGTAACCTTTTTCCCCGCTTCAAAGTAGCTTGGCTTCAATACAGGATGAGCTTTTCATCTGGAGAAAATTATCTTTTTCGTGCAAAGTAAAAAGCAGGCAAACATTTTTCGACCGTACTGAAGATTGAAGCCATGTGAAAGTGTGGTACACAAAGAAAGTCACGACTTCATTGGAGATGTGGGTGGGGGTGAAAAGGGAACAAAGTGAAGTTAAATACTTATGTGAAAAGAATCTTGAAATTACTACAGTGTTCCCACATATATATATATATATATACCCTTTTGCTTATTTCAGTATTTAAGTTTTTAATGTAAGTTGAGCGATGAGCTTGAGCATTCTACATTTAGTAGGAGAAAAGTAAGCATCATCAGACATAGCTGACATTTACCAAAACTTATATTTCAGAAAAAAATCCTTAACAAATCTGGGCTTTTCAGTAGGTCACTTTCTCTATTTTTGGCTTACGACGAGTAAGACTGTAAAAGCATTTGGTAGTACAGAGTAATTCTATTAACGCGAGCATGGAACTTTATTTCTGGCAACTGTAGTTCAGATAAAAACTGATGGAGTAAGAATTACCTTTCTGTTGTGATTCATTTCATTTGTGTTTTAACTACGCCCCATTGACATCTAAAACGCATTTTAATCCAAAAGCAGAAACTCAGCTTTTTTTACTCGGAAAAGCATCACATTATATTAATTGAGGCTTATACCCTTCAGACACGTATTACTAGTTGCTAGAAGATATTGTGTTCCTGTTCAGGTTCACCTCAAGTTGATCGGAGTACTCTGGTAAGGAGCTTTAGTAGAATGACCTTGTCGTCCTAGAATAAAAGTTTGTGGGATGGCTTCTTGCTGTAAACAGGACTCCAGCCTCTGACCTCCAGTCACCCTGTCTCATCACTATATTGTTGCTTCCAATGATTGCCCTTAATGGCCTACCGAAGGTCAAACATCTCCTGGAAAGGAAATATTCTTACACTCAATTACAATCACATTTGTCTGATAACAAGAATACGGCTATACATCTCCTTCCATTATTCTCTTCAAATTAATTTACCTTTTTTTTTTTACAAATCAATGTGCATATTCTTGGAGAACTGATTGTATTTGGGGCAAATATCCTTTTGAATACTCTGATCCTCAATATATAGCCAGTCCAATTGCAATGACTTCCTGGGCAACGGCAATCCTGGTAAGACAGGGAATGTTAATATCAACATGATCATTCTGGTGACTATATATATAAATTTTAGTTAACTCAAATATTGCTGCTGGCTGGAAATCCTCAAAATTCAGGAAATTATTGTGGGAATCTGATTCCGTGAGTTCTATTTTTGGCCCTTGTAGGAAGCAAGGAATACTCGACAGCAACTTATCATCACAAATTTCCAGGCTGCGAAGACCGGGTTTCCCGTTTTCCTATGTGGAGGTCAATGTGTACACCGATGCGTCTGCTAAATCTGCTGCTACATAGTATTATACTCATCATTAAGTTTGTACAATGATAACTAAAAATGAAAAGCAGCTGCAGTATCTGCAGGATTAAGCGTTACATCTGAAGTGCTTTAAATCAATTATCATGATGGTGATATCATCTAAACTACCCCTACTCACAGCAAGGCTCGCGAGCTCCTTGCAAGCATCCATAAGACCAGCAGATGATGGTCCCTCCTTAAAACTGGCGTTTTCTTGACTAGGAGACTCAGGCTTCATGCTTATCCGCTTGACCAGGGAAATTCTTCGTAACTTTGACGGTGGACTTCCATTTTCACAACCAACGTCATCTTCATTATCTTTCCAGCTATCAATCTTCTTATTGTATTTTGATGACTGACTTGTCTCCTTCTGTTGCTTAACCAGTGAAACTCTTCTTATTTTCGACGAAGGACTTTCATTATCTTTCCAGCTATCAACGTTCTTCTTGTATCTTGGTGACTGACTTGTCTCCTTCTGTTGCTTAACCAGTGAAACTCTTCTTATTTTTGACGAGGGGCTTACATTCACACAGCCATAATCCTCATCATGTTCAATAATACTAAGACCTCCACCAGCACCCAGTCTTTTTCCAGACAATAGTCGTGCCACAATATCAACAGCTTCCTGGCTGCTAACCTGATGATAAAGTCAGAGATCAAATTCAACAATCAAGTAATTCAAACTACAACTGCCCTCAACAGAAATATGGATCAAATATCTAGTTCTTTACCATGAAGTTGCTAACGATGCTGTAAGTACAGAGTAATGCCGTAGCACCAAAATAAAAGAGAATGGCTTGCACAGACAATTTCCCTTATGCAACATCTAATACTTATTCAGAATTAGTTAATAGCTCCCTAGATAAAAAGAAGCTACATAACATTAAGTCTTGGTTTTGGGGAAGAGGAGAGTAAAGAGATGCTATCAAACAAACATTTCGAGCAACCTCTCAGCACTTAACATTTTCACCACCTAGCCGAGGAAATGCTGTGCAGTTTCACTGATAGATCATCTTTTACCTTTCTCCAGTTATGTGCTTATGCAGTCCATCCCATCAGCTAAAAGATGAAATGTTTATGTAATACGGAAAAACAAGGCATACAAATGCATTGAGCAGAAGGGCCAAACCAACAAAAGATAAGCAACTGCAGGAATGTACTGTAAAAAAATTAGTTACATGTTAAATGCAGTGAATTCTAAAATGTTTTTCAAAAACAATTATGAATAGTCATCGCATGGAACTCCTGTGCTTGAAAAAGTCTCTTCGTTTTCTGTCAAATAAGCATTTCTTTTCTTACCTCTTCCCAAAGACCATCAGAAGCCAAAACAAGGAACTCCATATCTGGAGTCAACTGAAGAATTTTCGTGTCAGGATCAGCCAGTACCCAGTGCTTCAGATGGGCATCTCCAATACTTCTAGACACAGAGAGTATTCCATGAACTCTCCAAGCTCCTCGGTGAAACTCAACATATCCTCCCTATGCTCCAACATCAATAGAACGAGTCAGAAAGAAACTTAGCTCCTAACTTAAGATTATATATTAGGTTGGATGAGAAAAAAAAATTACAAAAAAGGCACCTCATTCTCAATCCTTTTTCTTTCATCCTCTCGTTCTGCTTTATGATCTGTTGTGAGGGCTTCAGCTACACCTCCTCTATACAAGACAGCCCTGCAATCTCCCAAGTTTGAAACAACAATGTCCTCACCTTCTATTACTGCTGTGACACAGCAGGCACCACTGGCTATATCCTGCATTATTTCCCTTTAGTTAATTAAGCATTTCCGCAATATAAAAAAGACAAAGACAAAAATCTCTAGTAAGCATAATGATACATCTTTGTGCCAGACACCCTGATGCCCTCTTAGCAGGTTCCTCATGCAAATATACAAGGACTTGCCCAATTTAGTTTCAATTATAATTCACTCAAGCCCCAGTTGGTATACTCTCATAGACTCTACTCAACTTGCTGGCTAGATTTTATGTACAATGTTGCATATTCTCAGCCAACCACATTCATTTTCTGATTTTAACAGGCTGATCCTTAAAATTGTTTAACTATAGTTTGCCTATCTAGCCAATAAATAATCAGTATGAAGGCAGATTCTTATAAGCCTAGAACAGTTCATCAGTCAATTGATCTGACAGTTACACATTTATGAGAGTTTATTGATCATAAATTAACATTTTCATGATTCCCTGTCTGATGTGTTCATAGACACGTGCCTTACATGTTCCAATCTTAGAAAAGGTTTACAGGTATTAGCCAGATCTAACCTGCTTCTTTCTGCTCATAGAGCCTAGCAATTATCAAAACCTGATGATTGGAATGTGATACTTTAAAGGGGTTTCAGCTAAAAGTGAATAACTGAAAAAATCCTGTGTCTTGTAGAGATACTTAAATTACTTGCAACTCATGACGGTTTACGGCTCAAGACTCGGCAGCAATATTATGAGAATATTGACTAGATGGTGTCGCATGATGATGTGGAGTTTAAATACCTAATTGGTAAAAGCCTTAGCTATTGTCTTTCATGACTAACCTCAGACTGAAGCTACAACCACCATATTCTGCATAGTAAAAACAAACCAATTGCATCTAACACAATAAATTTTAATGAGAATACCCTTAGCCAAGGCTGACAGAAATTCAATTCAAAGCCAAAAACGTTACTTGATGACTATTAATCGTCATCCTTCAATTCTCAGACCACTAAACCATTTTGGCATGTTCTCAAACCTCATAGTAGTTAATTGCAGTTTTTGTGGACCGAGCACAAAGAAACCCCAAGGACCAAGACAAATTATTAAGCAATTACCTTTCAACTTGAATAAGATGGTCATCGACAAACAAAGAATTTGGAAGTCAAAGGAACTAAAGAACCGATTCTTCAGAAGTTTAACTAGTATTATTTAGTTTTTTAAGGACAAAGTCACGGGTTTCCTGACTCTTCTTCTCACTCACGACCCCCTCTGCCTTCTCAGAAACTCCTTAGAAACTCAACCAACCACTGATATCCAGTAAGGTGCAATGTAAGGAAAACAAGAAAAGTAGACATCACATTAAAATTGAAAAAAAGAGTAAGCACAATGCTGTTACCTGCTTCAAGAACTCCTCATCTGTTTTGAGGTAACCAGCCTTAACTGCCTCCTCCTTCTCCTCATTTCCTTCACAATTCTTCAACATCTCAAAAATATTGTTGTGCAAGTTTTCTGCAACAAATTCAGCAGCCTTTTTCCCTCCATGTCCATCATAAACGCCAAAAAAGGCCTACAAATCAGCAACCAAGAAAAAAAAAAGCCAAATTTTGCTCATTGAAGCGCACTGCAAAAGCCAAAATGTGAGAATTTTACAATAAAGGAGGAAAATAACAACAACCCGTTTACAAACATTACTTTGTTTGAACTTCCATGCAAACAAGAAACGATCTTGTGAGTATCTTCCATGAACTTCTTCTTGCCTTTGACAGAGAAAACACCCACACCCAACCCACCGAAGCTAACGGCGTCATCTTGAGGGGTAACATCTTTAACTTTGAGGGTGTTGGCTTGGATTTCTTGCAAGACATTTGGGATCTCAATCTTAGGCGGTCTTTTCCGTTTCAAAGAACAAGAAAGAAGAGAGTTGGTTGGAGAACATTTGGAAGAAGAAGGTGAAGCTCGTGGGGGCGGTTCTTTGTCAGGTTTCTCGTGAAGCTGTGCAGAAAGTGAAGGGTCTTTTTTCATTTTTGCGTTGGTGTTAGGGGCTGAACAGAGGGGAGTGCAACGGCTATAAAGAGGAAGTGTGAGGTAAAACGAGTCAAAAGTAAGAATGGGGGAAGGAAGGCAGGTAGGGTTGGAGGAGGGAGGTCAAAGGAATATCAAATATCTCTTACGTTTTACTGCTTGGAGCCGTTGCGGATGCATTGCTGGTCAAAACTTTGAATCTTTTCTTGGTGGAGTTGAATTGGAGCTAAGCTTTTGGATTTGAACCGAATGTAAAATTAAAATACAACCACCTTATCACATTTGGTTCAATATACATACATTTATCTATCTATATTATATGGAAAAACAACTATATCCTTGTCATGGAATATAGATATAACACATCATATTATCACATTAAACCAATTCAAATTACAGTAAATTTGATAAGTGATAAATTTTTTATTTACATTTTAGATATTTCAAGAATTATTTACACGTAGATATTATTTAGGTGATAAAATGAAGTTTATTAAGAAAATAATATAATTTAGAGATGTATTTTATAATAGTTATTGATCTGTAAGAGGCTTCAACTATAAATAAGGAACCACCCACACTCATTTTGTATCACAATTATTTTTCATACCAAACAAAGCATTTTCTCAATATCTTTCTTTTCTTTGCGTTTCTATTATTTCTTTTATAACAATCTTTCTCTTATTTATCTTTTCTTTTTTTTCTTTCATTCAATACTTTTGTTTTTAGTTATATCAAATTTTATTAATTATAACTCCTAAAAAAGTAACTAATGTTAGAATTCTATTAATCAAATTTAAGGATAAAACAAACTTTGTTTTTAGTTATATCAAATTTTATTAATTATAATTCTTGAAAATGTAATTGAGGTTAGAATTCTATTAATCAAATTTAAGGATAAAATATACTAACACCTTTAAAATTTAACCATAATTACACGTTAAACATAAAATATCTAAAATATCTTTATTTTTTTTCATTCATTTTTTTTCTTAGGTCAGGCCTATGGGTTACTTTACATTGGCAGGACACCCATCTCCCTGGGCTCCTTTGGCTGATCTAGTTCTCTTTAGCTTTTTAGCCAAATCCAACCGTGGGGTGGTTGTCCAACATGAGGGTTATTTTTAAAAAAAAAATTATAATTTCATAATTTTTAAAATTAATTGAGAGTAAAGTTATCTTTTTAATAATACCGTGTCATCAAATTAACGAAAATATTAAGAGTTGACTAACCTGAATTTATAATATTTTTTTAATTTGAAAACTGTTGGACTTGCACATGTAGTTATGATCGATGAATCCACGTGTATAATTATAATTAAAATTTGAGAAGATTTGTGTATTTTACCCTTTCTTTAAATGATTCATGGTCTTAGAGTTGTTATTGCATAGTAAACAAATATCAACCTCACCTCGCAACAATCCTCTACAAACCAGCTTTAATAGCCACCTTCTCTTGTAGTAATTGCCAGCAGAATATTTCAACCTTGTAGGGTACTAAGCCACTCCAAACCTGGTTCCAAAAGTAAGCATGATAGCTGTTGTAACTTAAAACATTCCTATAGACTGACTTAAAGGTATACTCTCCACTAGTTCACTTTCTCCAAATAAGTTTATCTGCAAAACCCTTACCTATACTATTTTTTCAGTAACTCCCAAAATCCCTCCTTTTGTTCTCTCTCCCATCCTAGAATCTCTTTCTTAGCTCCATTCTCCAACACCAGTCCGTACCTTGCCACTAAGCAAAATCAATAATAACCTCTTTCTTTTTTACTGACAAAGCATAAATTGTAGGGAAATTTTCCTTTAGTATTACCCCTTTTATCCATTCATCTTCCTAAAATCCAATTCTTTTACCATCTCTTAAAGAAAACCCCATCCCATCAATAGTTGTTAGCTGAAACCTCCCTCTAAACTAAGTTGCTTGGTAATTCCCTTCCAAATAACCGAGGTTGCCCTACTCTTATGTTTTTCTAGTATCATTTTTAGCTCATTTTCCTCCACTTTCTCAACTATTACTCTTCTCCACTTGTTATCTTGTTCATTTGTGTATCACCAAAGCCACTTATTCAACAAAGCTTTATTCCTTAGTCCCAAATCAACAAAACCTAGCCTTCCCCACTTGTGAATAGAAAATGTTAACTGGTAATGGTGATTAATTTTTCAATAAGATTAATAACTTGTGCAAGTACAAATTAAAAGATAAAAACTTGTTTAGATATTATAAAAGAATGGTATGTATCCAAAATGTCCTTGAACTATTTAAAAAAATTCAAATAGGTCTTTATTTTTTTATTATGTTCAATCAAGTTTTTATATTTTTATTTGTGGCTAAATAAACCTTTGTTATTGATAAATAATTAATTGTCATTAATCAAAATGACACTTGTTATTTTATACTCATGTGGTATTAATATGACATGTTGATTTATCATAATTGAGGATGATATAACAGATTGATACGGTTACGTGGTAATCTTATCTTCTAGTATAGCAAGTCAGTATGTCACATCAATGTCATTTTAGTATAAAAATTACATTTTTGTATATTAAGGAAATAAAAAGAAACTTAATACATCATTCTCGATCAGGTAATGCCTAGATTGTCAGCTAATAAAATTGCATTAAGATTACTATTGTTTGGTGGAGATTTCGAAATATGAAGTCCTAAAGATAAATTGTCTTAATGGGTGGTCATCCAATTTGTACAGTGGTTTGCTTCACAATGGATGTCGGAGATGGTACAATCCCAATATTGGTTCAACAGCTTCTTGACACTTCTAATTAACTATGCATTTAGATCTAACTTCAAGTTTTGGTCTTGAGTTTTTTGAAGAACGAGTTATGAGTTTGATTCCTCTCGAATCTTTCTGAACCCTCTTTCCTAGCATATTTTAAGTCCCCAGTATAATGCCCATAACTCTGCTTGCAAGGAAAAGGAAATACCAATTTTATACATAAAATCTAATATCCAAGTACCAACTTCATTTCTGATGACTCCTCCTGCAACAACCATTCTTGGTTATCCTCGAGCACTTTCATCAACATTCAGCTTTACATAAGAGTTTTCCCGCAATTCCTATGCAACTAAATATTCTTTCTTCATTTTATCATGTTGCTTTTGTATGTTATCCCACGCTTCTTTTGATTTAGTCCAAATTTACTGCCATGCATTTTTTGGCCAACCAAATGTATCATCAAAAATAGGTAAATTCCTTATGTACCATAATAACCATATGGCATGTGTGAAAATAGTCCCCCACGATACTCCATTAAAGGATTCGACAATCTCTATATTTTTCAACATCCAATTGTGTAAATCAAGGGAGAAAAAAGTACTTTCACTAAACTTAGGATCAATTTATATTCATAGGCTTTTACTCAAACCGTAGTCCCTTAGTGCATGAGGTAGGGTCTCCATATGATTATTACACTTAAGACAGAGAGATAGAACATTTAAAATTCTCTTGGAGAGCTATACCTTAGTCGATAAAGATTCATGGAATATCCTCCAAATAAAAAGTTGAACCTTTCTTAAATTGGTAATTTTCCATAACTGATTCTAGTGGCTCATTTTTTATGGATGGCTATTTAATTGCAGTTCATAAGTTGATTTTGTTATGAATTCTCCATTACCTGAAGGTAACTAGAAAACGTTATCATCTTTGACATTGGTAAGATCTATCATTATTGCCACGATTCTTATAATAATATACTTAGGAAGATCCTGTTCCATTTACTGCAAATTCTAGCTTCCAAATTCATTACAGAAACGAACTACAGGCAGCTAGAGTTCTACATTAGATAAGGCTTTAGTTGTATGATTAAAAAATGGACCATAACAAAGCCAATTATCTATCCACAACTTTGTTTTGTGACCATTTGTAATAGATATTCATAGCTCTTTCTCAATTACAGATTGACTCTTTAATATACTTTTCCACACATGTGATTCCATTGAATCTCATCAACACTGCTTAACAAATTAGCTCTTGCATTAATAATGTTTAAGGACACCAATAACTTTGATTTTGATAAGCTTACTCTCTAACCATAAGGCTTGCAAAACTAGTCAAGAATCTCTCTCATCACCTTTACTTGTTTGATAGAAGCAATTCCAAATAGCATCAAATCATCGGCAAAGCAAATATGAGGGAGTGTAAGACCCTTACTTGTGAATTTCAATGGATGCCAATCCCCTACATTTATTGCACTGTTAATTAGTTGTGAAAGTTTTTCCAAACATAATACAAACAAATAAAGAGATAAAGGATCACCTTGATGAATTCCTCTTGATGGTGAAAAGACATCTGAAGCTTTACCATTCCAAATGATGGAAAAAATAAGAGTTCTCACAATGTACATTATGAGGTTTACCCATGGGGATGGTAAACCAATTTCCTCTAATACTTCTTGCAAGAAATTCCATTTCAATCTATCATAGGACTTTTCAAGATCAATTTTAATGGCCAAAGTTCCTTCTTGTCTTCTCATCGTTTGAATTGTGTGAATTGCTTCTTGGGCAATTATAATATCATCTATTGCCTATCTTCTTGGAATAAAATTGCATTGGGTTTTTTGATCAAATCACTCAGTAAAGGTTTTAAGAGATCAACCAATACATTACTTATAGTCTTCATCAGAACTGAGCATAAACTAATCCATCTAAATTGAGTGGTTTGCTCAAGAGTTTTTCTTTTAGGGATAAATGTGATCAACATGTGATTGAGTGCAGTTGGGAAAGAACCCTAGTTGTCAGCTGTTTCAACCATCTTAAAGATATCCAATCCTAATATGGACCAATTTTTTTGGAAAATAGAAAGTGGAAAATCATCAAACCTCGGGCTTTTGTTAGGCTTCATGCTAAATACAGCTTTCTTGACTTCTTCAAAAGAAATAAGATTTGAAATTTCAATTATTTTATTTTCATCTAGCTTCCACCATGGGTTGTTTGGAAGAGACAAATGAAGATTGTCATCCTTAAATAATCCTTAGTAATAGAGCAAGACCATGTTTTCCATTTCAGCTTGGTTATCGCACCAAGTGTCTTCATCGTTATTCAAAGCTTGAATCTTGCTCCTTCTCCATCTGCTTTGAACTATAACATGTTATAACTTTATGTTGGCATCTCCATCCTTCACCTAGTTAAGTCTCGCTTTATGTTGCCACATGGTTTCCTTTTGAAAAAAAATTAAGTTATTCTCCTCCACCAGTGCAACTTTCAGGTTTTGTAGATAATCATTGTAACCTTTACCCAGTTGAGCTTGAATAATTTTGAGTCTTGCAAGCACCCCGGTGCTTTCTCTTATAAATGGTGCCATATACTTCATGTTTCCATTTTCCTAAAAATGTCAATAAATTTCTCAAGGCTGTATAAATATTTACCCCTTTTGACTTTCAATTTTCTTAATGAAATCTTTGAAGTTTAGGTGAGACATCTAGGAAAGTTCAAATCGAAACCCTTTGTTAAGTGGAACTTCTTACAAAGTATTCTTACATTGCACCAGAATGGGATGATGATCAGAGTGTGTGCGTGGTAATGTCAATACTTAAGAATGCAAAAATAACTCACATCAAGATTCATGTGCTATTGCTCTATCCAAGCGAACTCTGGTGTAATTGAATCCTTCTCTTTTATTGCAACATGTAAATTTAGGTCTTGATGATCCTAGGTCAAACAAGCTACAATAATTCATGTAGTCACTCATCTGATTACATTTAATAGAATTCACACTTCTTTTTTTGCTCTTTTCATTTGGTGAAGTGACTTGATTCAAGTCGCCCAATACCATCCACAGTAGTGCATGAGTTTCGCTTGACAAACACAAAGATTTCCATAACCATTTTCTTTCTTCAACAATAGGACTTCCATATACAACTGTTAATAACCAACTGGATCCCGAAGTTTTAACTAACATATGTATCAACTGTGAAAAAATGCCAGTATCTCTAAAACAACTATTTCTGCATCCTATAAACCCAAATACCTCCCGAAAAACCATTTAATTCCACTCTGAAAAAAATTAGGTAGCTTGATTCTTCAACATACTTTACCATCTTTGCTATTCGAAATCCTTGGCTCTAATATAATGACAACATGTAGCTTGCGAATGCTGATTAAATTCTTTACATTCTTGATACACCTCTAAGAGGCAGCTCTTCTCACATTCCAGCTTAAGATGTTATAATTCATAAAATAAATACTAAAAAGAAACTAGTTTTCAACATGAACAGTACCTAAAATAAAAGAAAGTAGTGCAATAGCAAGATTAATCTTGCATTATGTCCAGTTCTCCTATCTCTAACTCCATATCCACTAAAGTGGCTCCCACCATTGGCCTACCATGACTATCATCCTCTTTTACATTGATGACTCGTTCCTTAGCCATTCCATTTACTCTAACTCTTAGGCTTTCTATAATAACTTCTTTAGGTGGTGAAGAAAAAGATGTGATGGCTTAGTCAGTTTCTACCTGGGGTTGGGTGTTGTTGATTCTACGAAAAATTGAATTAATTCCTACTTGCTAATTACTAAAATTATTACACCTTAGTTTTATTCAAACAATTAAAACTTAAATTAAAAAATAATAATTTTAACAAACTAAAAATAAAACTAATCTAAAATTAACTAGTAAAATTATTTTATTAAATTTGATTGACTTTAATACCTAAGATTATGATGTCCCTCAATATTTCATCTGATTATTGTCTCTCTCCCTTAACTTAGTTTAGTGGATTAAGTTACTAATCAGAAGTCTTAAATTATTTACCAATCTTTGTCGAGTTTCTCATAAAAATATTTCTCTCAATTAATTTACTATATGTCTATACAAATTAAATTAAAGACAAATTCATTAAGTTCATACTCTAATTTTGGCTACGTATGGCTTATAGGTGTATGTCTACCCTATATATAAATTAAACCACATAATCAACTAAGTGCATTCGATCATACTCTATTCTATTTAAGGTCTATCTAAATCTCTTTTTTCAAGGTTTAATTTAGATTTTCAAATCAATCTAATTGGTGATCTGGTAATTAGAAGTATTAAAACTAAATAAAATAAACAACTTAAAACCATCAAGTATAAGTTAAAGAGAGATAAATAAATTAGACTACGTATTGAGTTCAATCATAAGCTTAAATAAATAATTTAGTTCTCTATCAAGTCACACATCATCATCAAATAAAGTTTAAACATTTAGATTAAACTAAGAAAATAAAAGAATAATAAAAAGATGATAGAACTCAAGAAATGTAATCTTGATCTTCCAAATCTTCTTGAATCCTTCAAATTCTTCTTAGCTTCAATTACTTTGTGGCTTGATTCTCCCCTATCAGTCTGGTATTTCGTTCTCCTTTAAAAGTCCTCTGGAAAGTTGTTTTTATAGGACTTTAAAGTTAGGCCAAGTTGGGTAAAGAAAGAAGTCAATTCCAATTAGAATTTCCTCATCAGACTATGTAAGTGGTGGCCTACCTCTACCAAGGTCATGGCTTCGACCAATTAATGAGCAAAAATCGTAATTGCTCTAGGACTGCTATAGTGCTTCAACTTTGATAAGATTTTTGACTAAATTCTAAATTGAACTGGGCAAAGTGGTAAACATGATCAAAATACCGAAATATGTGTAGTGAAAATCTACACTTTTAAATTGCTTTCCTTCTTCCATTAAAATTCTTCCTTCATCAAATACCTACAAAAGCACACCTAAATCAATAACAACCTATCTTAATTACATTAACACTAAATTAAGTATAAAATTAGCTAAAATTAGATTGACTCACCTAAATTAATTGACTTAAAATAATTTAAATAAAACTTACTAATTTCTATGCATTACTACAAGAATTAAGGTAAATTACTATTAAAATGAAATCCAAGTAACTCTATATCTTAGAGTTATCACTAAACCACTATGTTAGATATTTTTAGTGCAATAAGGTTTCTCTAGGGACCCAGTATACGAAGCTCTTGTGATTACGTAGAATTTCCTCTGATTTGTGCCTCCTTCGTATTCCACTGGTTTGGCTCAAAAGACGTTATCTTTACAGCAATTTAGGCCACAAACTTACCTTTTGTTTTTGCAAGATTGATTTCTCTATTTGACACAATCGTTGCTAACTGCAAAGACTCCTTTAAAGCATTGTTTTTTTTCACAATAGTGGTAACCCCCATTGGCTTGCTAATCACACTCCCTGTAGCCTCTTTTTCTAATGTCTTAGTAACAAATTGTTCCACATCTGCATTATTTTCTTCTTTCGCCAATATATAAAATCTTGAACCCGATCTAGTCAACTCATTAAAATTTCCTTCCTGATGTATCACCTTAGTTTTAAACTTGGTGCCTCCCTCTGTTTTATTCCCACTATTTCTTTTGTAGTTTTTCTTCGCAACCATCCACGGGCTAACGTGAAGATTCATAGTCCTTCTTTGGGCATTTCTTCTTTTTAGCGAGTTTGTGTGCTTGTTCCTCTATGTATCTTTCTTGTTTCTTTGGACAAATTGGACAAAATTCAGACCCATGACGAAATTCACCACAATAGAAACACAACATTCACAATCCTTCACACTCTATCTTCTGCCAATGTCCTTTTATATAAATCTTTACCACTAAAGGTTTTGTGAGATCGAGTTCCACACACAATCTTTCAAACTTTCCCTTTATAGCATAAAAAGTTGTTCGATCAACTTTCAAAGTTCTCCCCAGTTTGTTGGCAATTCGTGACAGCACATCCTCATCATAAAACTCCAAAGGCAATCTTAGTAACCTGATCCAAGCAGCCACTGAGTCTATGAAAGCTTCATCATATCTGAAGCCTGGTATCCATCGTCTAATAGTAAGGTAATGATCTACAATGATCCAGGTCCCTTCGGACAAGACATAATCATAGTCTGACTTATTTGAGTACTTGAAACAGTAATATCCATTGTCTAAATCCATAGCTTGAAACTCTCCTTTTAATGACCATAACTGTTACAATTGATTGCATAGATAAGTATAACTTATGTCTTTTCCTAACACTTTCACCATTAGGGTTCTTCTCCAGGGTTTTCGAATCCTTTCTTTATCATCCTTAGTTAAACTATAAGGATCTTCGACATCTAATCGTATCTCATCATAATCTGATTCGAAGTCTTCCACAAACTGTCTTTCTTCTTCAAACTCCTCATTGTCTAACATAACCACTGTGTCCTCTAGCAAGAGAATATTTTTGTGTGGAGACTTTGATGCCTTTCTTGCTTCAATGGAATCTATCCTCTTAATTCAACAAGGTCATCACTCTTTTCATTGCTAGCTTGTTTTGTTCTTCCTCTCTTAACACCCACTCAAACAATTTCTCTTCCATCATCAATATTCACTGAGGGACCCCTAATGGGTTTGCCTCAATGCAAAAGATTATTAGGGTTTCTTAGAGTTTAAGTGCAAATGCAAGTTATCAATTATTAATTATAAAATTTATTTAAATTAAAATAAAAATATATAAATTTGATAAAATATAATAAAAAATAAAAATTTATTTAAATTTTTTTAATAATTTAAAAGTTTTTTTAAATAATATGTCTAAAAGAACAAAGATTTATCAGTCAATCCGATAGTAAAAGACATTCCCGCCTATGGAAACGGTAAACGGCCAGACACGAAGCAAAAGCGTTGTTAAAAGTTTGCACTGTAAAAAACGGGCGCAGAGTAAATATCAGCTCTCTTTTCCATCCACACTCTTGACTCGGTGGTTCCACCAGGTTCGAAACAATGTTTCTCTCTGCAATAACTCCCCAACACCCACTCTCCCCGCCAAACTCCTCCACCAACCAAACCCTTCCACGTGCCGTCCACCTCTCCGCCAACCCTTCCCCCAAACCACCTAGCGCTCTTCCCTCCCTCAAATCCCTCAACTCCAACTCCCCCAACACCTCCACCTCCCTCCGCCACGTCTCCACCCACACCCTCCCCGGTGACAATGAGTCCCAACAACCAGAACCAACGATGGTCTCCTCCGCCTCCGCCGTATTCGCCGCCATCCGCAAAGCCTCCACATCCCCCGTCGACTTCACTCAAAGAATCGAGAAACACGATCACCGCAACCACAAATTAGTCATGCCAAGTCCCGATTTCCAACGCCTCTGCCTCGAACAATTCGACCTCTTTCGCCGAATCGTTGACCCCGACGCCATTCTCTCGGTGTACGTCAGGCCAGCCGGTAGTTATGTCATGGACCGGCTCGAGTTACGTCGGGTGACGTCATATCCAGGAGTTAAAGCCGCTGACATTGTGATTTTAGTCGGAAATTTCACTGTCCCCACCGGACTGCGTGCCGTGGAAGCCACACTTTCCAGTCAGCCAGTGGAAGTTGTGGGGGAGCATAGAGCGATGGTTTTTCCGATGGTGAAGCAGCCGTTCGTGGTGGGGTTCTTTGTGGTGGAGCTCCCGGAGTTGGAGAAGGTGCTGCGTGGAAGTTCTGCTAGTGAAGGTGGGGACTTGGTTTGTTGCCCGACTCTGGAGGAGGCTTATGCGTTGTCTTCTCCTTCTCCAGGATGGGATGTGAAAAATTCGTGGGAAATTCAGTCTCTTGAGAATGAAGCGCTGAGGAAAAATTACATCTTTACTTCTAACCAGAGATCGAATGCGATCAATATATCTCGCACTTTAGCTATGGCTTATGTTATGGATCAGGTTAGTTACTTACATTTGCTCTCTTTTTTATACTACTATTTTATATGAATGCTCCACTGCTATATCAAGCCTTAGGAAAAAAGGGCTTTAGTTTTGCTATGCTCTCTGTCAATGACCAAGTATTCAAGTCAAAGTAGCAACTTTTATGCTTCAAAGTTCAAACTTCATTTTTGCTGATTTTGCTGTGTAGAACAAGTACAGCAAAATGGCGAGTAGCAAAATTCTTACCCTAAGGAACCCAATTTGGTCTTCTTTAATTGTCCTTAGTGCTCAATGTTCACTCATTTCTTCAATTTCTGTTCTTTTTTTTTTTTTGGGGGTTCTATGTCTAACATGGCTTCTATAGGCTTCGTGAATTGTGACTTTTGTTCATTTTAATTCACATAGAAGATTGGCACTTCCCTTATTTCTTCTGCAGAAAGCAATGTTACTGCAGCAATCATCTTGGCAAAATAATGTCAGAATGGGTGCTCTTGTTGAGCAGGTAAGATGTGTTGCTTTCTGCAGATAGATGCATCTCTGTTTTGTTTTTATTTTGGTAAAGTTGTTATGATTTACCTTTAACTTTAAAATTTTCTCGCAGATTCGTGGTCCTCTTTCTAGCATACGGACTTTAAGTAAAATGCTATCCACTCATGTTAAAAGAAGTGAGGTTAGTCATTGAGCCATCTGAGACAAAGTTACTCTTACTTTTACTTTTTTGAAGGGTATCATTGTGCCAATCTTCCACTGTCATATTTAATTATGGAAGCATAATCTTGCAGATTTCTCATGACATTGTTGAAGACATAGTGGTGCAAGGTGATTATATGAGGGACACCCTTCAAGAACTCCAAGACGCTGTTTACTTGACAAAGGTAATTTTCTTCTCAAAGAGTATATAGGTATACACAAAGCTCCTGTAATTCTGCTCTTTTTTGGATAATAGAGAATGTCTTTCTTTAGTTTGATTTGATACAATTGTTCTCTGTTATGTATTTCTGCTCTCATGTAGTGTCATTCTTGTTATTAAAGGGTTCCCTTTTACTAGTCTTCTTCACAGTCATCAATTTCGAAATACAAGCCGGTTATCAAACTGCACATTGATTTGAGATTTCTAAAGCTTTAATGAAATTAACTTCTCTAATAATCTTATTATGTTGCTGTAATTTATTATTTATACAAAGAATGCAACATTTGCGCTTCTATTAACTTTCCGATCTGGCTTTTCTTTAGGCTAATATAGTGCGCTACAATGAAGAAACTTTGGAAAAGATGCATAAATCAACTTATTCCCGTCTTGAGTCACTGAGATCTCAATTATCAGATGATATCTCCAGGGATAGCTCCACCAATAGGCTGGAAAATTCTGGTGTACTACTATCTCGAAGTACAACAGACAAGGATTTAGAGATGCCAATGCCACCATTGGCTCTTGCCCCTCTACGAGAACATGGGATCAGGTATGTACCATCCTTTTGGAAACTACTTGCATTTCATCACCTCATAAAGAGAAAACTAGAGAAGTGTTCAATTATATTAGTCATGTTCTGGTTGTAGACATTTCATTAACTATTGGAAATTTGGTTCCAAAACTCACATAGAAAAATGTTTGTGATACTAATTATTGGAGAGTACTTGAGCCTAGGCTGTAGTCTTAGGTTGAATATAAGCTGAACAGTTATGTTTGGTCTAAATAGACTTGGGAATAAATAACTTAGCTGTCTGCATTAGTGTTGTGAGCCTAGGTTGTAGTCTTAACTTGAATATATGCTATATAGTTTATGTTTGGTCTAAATAGCCCTGGGAATAAATCACTTGGTTGTCTTTCTTTCTTTGTCCCCTCAGTCTTCCCTCTCGTGCGTTTATTTTGAATTCTCCCTTTTAGGTGTTGGACACTGTGCTGCATGATTTAAAAACTGAATGCAATCCAGCCCATCCCTTTCTGGATGTGCAATGGATTTCTACTGTGGATTTCATTTAGTATTGTTATTATTAGGTTGCTTATGCTTTTCCTTTTCTGTCAGGAAGACCGTGCAATGTTTCTGATGTACTGACTGATTTAGTTGATGCTGTGAGACCTCTTGCTCATAAGCAGCAACGCATGGTGGAATTAAGTGAACTTTCACAATCTTTGGAAGCGGCTATAGAAGAACCTTCTTTGCGCCAGGCTCTGAGCAATTTGATAGAGGGTGCATTATTACGTACCCAGGTTGGGGGTAAGGTTAAAATTATTTCTACTAGTGCACCAGCTGGTGGCGCATTACTGGTAATTGATGATGACGGACCAGATATGCACTATATGGTATTGATGGCAATTCTTTCCCCTCGATGCAAGCCTTTGATTTCTTCTTCAAATTAGGGCGTATGGAATGCCTTTAATACATCTATTTGTTCATCAATGCCTAGTGTCACCCCAGTTACAGTTCTAGGGGAGATGCAAAGGTTGCAAAATGCATTATAGCAATGATAAACACAATAAGCCTTTTGTATTATGTTAATATGAGAAGCAAGATGTTCTCAAAGAAAAAAGGAAAAGAGAGGCAGGGTGCTTATATGATATGCATATTGACGATCAGATTAATAGATTGAGAGGAAGCTTCTGTCCCTAGTAGGGAAACTAAAATCTGAAACAGAAGTTGATACAGTGTTATGATCTTTGCATCATGGGGGCATTTACTGAGTTTTCTAGTTGCTAGTTGGGTTTGTGAATTGATAATCTACAACTATTTCACTTTCTTTGTATATGTGTTACATTGAGTTAATTAGGATGACTTGACGTGTTCTATAGTTCCTTGTATGAAGATGCCTTGCAGATCTTAAAGGCATTAAGAGAAGTTGCTGTTTGATATGGCTGATACTTGCTTTGGAGTTTTAGTTGATCATATATGAATGGTTTTGCTGGTATATGTGTTTGCAGACACAGATGCATTCTCTCACAACATTTGGAGCCGAACTCTTCGCAGAAAACATGATTGAAGACAACATGACTTGGAACTTTGTTGCCGGGCTGACTGTAGCACGTGAAATACTTGAGAGCTATGGCTGTATTGTCCGTGTCATATCACCTCGGTGCACTGATGCTGCTCTGGGAGCAGGTGGAACGCGTATAGAACTCTGGCTTCCTTCCTTTGCTGCATTATCTGATGCAAACAGCCTTACACGAGAGGCATAACATGGATGTGGGATGCTATGTTCTTGATTTCCTCAGTGAACTCCTTTATGGTATTTCAAAATGAAGAATAGGCATATTTTGGAAGCCCCTGCTCCCATCAACACACTCATTATCTCAACTTTGAGGGGAAGTTGTATAGTTGTATTCTAATACAGTATATACCTGGAAGAAAGAAAAGAGGAAAATGTAAATATTAAGCATTGAGGCCTCCTTTGGAAGTCCCATAGAGAAATGAAATAAACTTCATCAATTGTATTGCAGATGTTATTTAAACAACAAAAACGCAGCATTTCAACTATGACCACTACTTTATCTTATGTTTCATCCTGGTTGAACTAAAGCTTGATTGTTGTAACTGTAGCTAGGGCAGACGAATGTGTGAGACATGTTAGGATGGAGGGGTGCTGCATTGGGTTCCAGTTCCTGCCACGGTTGACGGTGGGGTGGCCTTAGTGGAGCTTAGAACAAGTTAAATGGAGCCAAGCCGAGTCCATAAACAGGGTTGGACCTTAGGGCTTTTGTTAGTAAAAGTCAAATTAAAGGGCTAGATTTTGTTTTGTCTGGGGCCTGGATCCAAGTCCCTACATGGGCATGTAAGCTAATGCAACACGATCGAGCAGACTACAAATGGTCAAACAAGTCGAAATAGGCTGCTCATTTAACCAAAAAAAATCTCTCCTAAGCAGATCATGAAACACGTCACATTTCTCCCAAGATTTTTCCTCGAATATGAATCATAAAACTAAATTATTTATTAACATACCAAAACATCAATTTCTGTGAAATATATAATACTATAAAAAAAACTTGATGAAAATAAAGTGGATGCGTCATGCTTTGCATTTCTTGACAACAAGCAAATCATAAGAGAATTGAAACAGAAACGAAGTAGAAGACTGTAAATTGCATTTAATTAATAAAATAAAATAGATGCATGGGCGTCTGCTTAGGTGCCGAGCCCACCATGTTTGTGTTTAGTGGCCTGACAGCAAAGGCACGTCAACACACGCCTCTTAATAATTATACTAATTGCTTATTTTTCAACGTTTTGGAAGCCATCCGATAAGCACCCCACCCCTCGTTTTCTCCTTCACCTACAAAGCTCAAGCCCTGGAGTCAGCCGCAGCTGACCTAACAACGAGCCTTACGGACTTTTACGGCTAAGCTAAACCGGCCATTGGTTCTTCGATTCTTAGCTGACCCATGGTTTTGCCACTTGTCTTATCACGTTAAATTTGATTAAACTGCACTGAAATAATCAATTCACCATAAAATCCCTTGATAAGACAAGTGGCAAGGCCATGGGCCAGTCAAGAATATTAAAAAAAAAATAAAGTAATCAAATAAATTTGATTAATTAATTTTTTTTCATTTCGATTCTAATTGATTAAGAGAGTAATTTGTTTGGCTATTTGGATTGGTTTTCTTGTTCAAAATTTATAATCAAATTCACCGAAAAATAATTATTAATAATATATTTAAAAATATTTTTTATATAATATTAATATTGTTAATATTTTTTAAAATATAACTAAAATAATACTTTCATTAAAATTGAAATAATTAATTGAATAAAAGATTCGTAAATTTATGTGTTGATTTTCTTAATTTTTTATTATAATTTGACTGATTTTGATTTTTTTTAATAAAAATATGATTGATTCAATTTTTAAAATTTTAAAATTTTAAAATTAAACCACCTTACTTTGGCTATACAAATCACTTTGAATTTAAGTATTAAAATATTAAAAATGAAGTTATTTGACTTGACAAAAAACAAATTAAATGAAAAGATTTTGCACATTGAAGTCGAATAATTATGGAAAATCTTCATAGGAAAAAGGTTACCTAAATCTGAACACATCCCTATCTACTTGGTTGGAGGGCAGGCTAAGGAAAACAATTTAGGACAAGCGAATTACTTGTAGTTGACACTTCGGTTTTTCCGGCCATAAAAGTAGCACCATCAACCGTCCCCTCCCCTCGATTGTGTGTACCTAAATTTTCGCCGGTCAGCTGCCTCTAACGACGGAGGCGGCTTCCCCTTTCAAGAGTTAACATTGTCAAATGTCAACTCAACACCTTCAAAAGTCAAAGTCTTCCCTCTCTTTCTCTTGTTACTTCAGTACCCCACGCAGCATTAGATCACTTCTCCCAACAGCAATACCACCGCATTCTCAACTCAACTGGCTTTATATGCCTTTGTGGGGTGTTTGGCCTTTGACCACTCACGCCTGAAAGTGATCCAATGCACTGTCTGAGATACGCCTGGTGATGGTCCTTCACCTGCCATTTACCAATTAATAATTTGAACTTTATTTGATTGATTGTTTTTATATTTTTTATAAAAATTAATAAAACATTAATAGAACAAAATCTAAATTAATTTTCCTTACATTATTAATTAAAAACTTGATGATGATTTCATGAAAAGTCAAACCAAACATGGATTTGAAGAGTATGAATAATAAAATCAAGAAAATTTGGCCAATCGTTACAAGCAATGGGTAAGGTTTTTATGTTGGTGGACCAATAAGAGACAATGGGTCCCTGACCTATTTTGGTTTTGTGTGGAATTGGGAACCAAGTCTGGCTCCGTTACGCATCCGTTGGACTTGAATGGGTCAGGGGAAGGGGGGGCTTTGGCCCCTTGCCTTCAATTCAAGGACAACTATTGGTTTTATTTGACTTGTAAAACAATTGGAAACAATCAAGGAGTGTGTTAAGGAGAAAACGACCCCTTTGTTCATATTTTGTTCTTACACAATGGGCATTTTGAAACTTAAGCGATCCAATGATATGATAAGAGACCAAAGAGAAATACCTGGAAGGAACCACACAACAAAACAAACTCTTTTGAAAAGACTCAAGACTCCTTTGCTTACCATTTTCCCTTCCTTTTTTCTTCCCTCCAAAGGCAAAGAAAAGCACTTCTTTAAAAGATTGGATTTCACAAAGACATTTTAGTCCCTTTTATTTCAAAATAATAATTTTAGTCCTTTGATTGTTAACACCATTAATTAACAGTTAAAAACATTATATCTAAAACTACATAAATATTTTAAGACACAAATGCCTTTTAAAAAAATCTACCCATGTTCTCTTCCAAAATTTAATGAAATTCGTTTTGATATTTAACAAAATTTAACATTTGATAGAGAAAAAAAAAACCTAAAACTTAATAAAATTATAGAATGAGATTTGTGAATTTAGTAATTTATCTTATTCTTATATTTAATAAAAGTCAATATTTAACAGAGAAAAAAAAGGTTAAACTTTTAATATATATTAGTCAAGTCAAAATCATTAGTTAAATTATGCAATTAATTCTTATACTATGCAAAAAATATAAATTTAATCCCTATACAATAATTTGTATGAATTGAGTCATTGTTCTTTGTCAATTTATTAATTTTAATTTTTAATTTTAATACTATTAAATTTTGATAGTTAAATTTGCTGATGTGGTGACATGGCACTAATCAAGTTAGATACGGCTTCAAATTTTTAAATCATCAGATCAAATTTTTTTTAGATTTTTTTATTAATGTTTTTGAGAGAAAGATGAATTGTTTTTTTTAAAAAGAGAATATATTTAAATTAAAAAATAACATGAGAGGTATTTATATCTTAAAATAATTTAATATTGAGTTTGTTTTTTTATTATTAACTTACAGTGTTAAAAATGAACGATGAAAAAAAATATTATTTTGAAATAAAAGACTCTAAAATATCTTTTTTTAAATGTTTCGAAAAAACTTTTTAAATTTTATTAACCTTTGTCTGAAACACGCTTTGATTCGCATTACAAATTTACAGCATATTCCCACCCCAGGACGATGAAAATGCAAAAACTAAAGAGCTCGCCTGCTTCTGTTTTTACTTTTTACTTTTTACCAGCTAAAGAAAAACCACATCAGAGAAAAAAAATGCGATTGTTAAATCCAAGCAGGGCAATACAAATTTTAAGACAGTTAAAAAAAGTGGTTAGCAGGAAATCTAGCTGGGGTCAAATCAAACGACATGCTCCACACAGGGTATCCGCACAAATGCAAGAAGCCCACAGCTCCCTCCCCTGTCGATTCACCCAATGAAATAAATAATAACAATAATAATATAATCCTGAATTTATTCAAAAATCAAAATAAAAGTTTTTGGTGCTTCGTCATATAAGAACTCGATTAAGAAAGAAGAAAGAAGAACTAATTTCCTAATTCAAGCTAAAAGCAAACACCGATAATAGCCTGAAGAGAAAAGACTTTTCAAATCTTTTTCTTCTTCCCAGCTTTTGTAAAATCACACGATCTTAGTGTTTTCTTATCTGAAAAAAAGGAGGATATAATTTTTTGTTTATTTTTTTTCCCGGGAAATTGAAACTCCTCCTTCAGTTTCAAGTCCTTTTTTCCTCCACGTTTCTATCGTTTTTCCCGTTAGAAAGGCGATCACGATCTTAGTTCTCTCAGAGAAAGCATAGAATCATTTGCTCAGATTTTTCAGTTCAGTTAAAGAGGCGGAGGTGATTTTCTCGTGCTTTTGGGTCATTTATAAATACACTTTCAATTTACACGAGATCTTGCTCAGTTGCTCACAATCATCCTTCTATTCAGGTACGTAAACCTTTGTAGTTTTTTTTTTTAAAGCATAGTTTTCCGTTTGTTTCCCGAGAAAATCCTCGTCCCGGCGGCAACCGATATGACCATTCAGTTATTTAAACTTCCTTGAACTAGATTTCAATATTTCAATCCTTATTTTAATATTTCAGTTTTCTGCTCCAACTTGGTTTTTTTCTTCTTTTTTTTTTGTGATAATTGCGAACTTGCTTTTTTTCTCTTCAGTCATTAGATTTTCGTGGTTGCTTAAAGTTTATTGATATTAAATTAATCAAAAAGGTGGTTGAAATTGAAAAGAAATTATAGGAATAAGAGCGGATTTTAAGCTAACTTTTAGGTGAGGTTTATGTTTTAGGTCGTTTTGTTCTGTACCTTCGAACCTAAGCAAGCACAGTTGTTGGTCGTAACTAGATATTCTCGGTAATTGCAGCTCTTTTCATTTATTGAATTCAAATATTTTAGGATTTTAGGTCTTAGTCAAAAAGACAAAAAAAGAGGCACGTGTTTACTTGATTATAGAGTAATCCAATTTATGATTTGGAATTTGTCTGCCTTTTGTGTTTGCCCGGCGGCCTTCCCTTGATCTTTTGTCAAAGGGGGTAGCACATGGTTGCTTGCTTTGTGGAGTTTGTAGTTGAGGGTTATGTGGAAGAGGTTCTTAGGTGGTACTCAGTAGCTTCTTATGGGG